TGCTTCTGCCATAGGAAGCATAATGTATGGCATGCTATGTACGAGACCCGATATTGCGTATGCTGTGAGTGTCACAAGCAGATATCAGTCTAACCCCGGCCCGACTCACTGGAAAGCCGTGAAGGATATCCTCAAGTACTTGCGAAGAACTAAGGATATATTTTTGGTCTATGGGGGTGCCGAGTTGAAATTAGAGGGTTTTACAGACTCTAGTTTTCAATCGGACGTGGACGACTCAAAGTCGAATTCTGGATTTATATTCACGCTGAATGGTGGTGCCGTGTGTTGGAAGAGTTCCAAGCAAAGCACGACGGCCGATTCCACTACCGAAGCGGAATACATTGCAGCGTCTGAAGCTGCAAAAGAAGGGACTTGGATAAGGAAGTTCATCCAAGAGTTGGGTGTCATTCCTGATGCTAGTGATCCAGTACCGTTGTACTGTGATAACACCGGAGCCGTGGCACAAGCTAAGGAGCCACGATCTCATCAGAAGTCGAAGCATATTCTGAGGAAGTATCACGTGATCCGAGAGATCATTGATAGAGATGAAGTTAAGGTAGAACGAGTCACCTCGGAAGAGAACGTTGCAGACCCCTTCACGAAGCCTTTACCAAGATCGGTCCATGAGAAACATCGAGAGTCGATGGGATTGCGGTTTATGGGTAGTTGGCTTTAGGTCAAGTGGGAGATTGTTAGAGTAGGTGACCAACAAGCCAACATGTGGCTGTGGTCTTTCGTATTTATTATTGTAATAAACGAACCTTTATTCGTATTAATGATTAAAACACCTTGGCATTCTATATCTTTGTCCCTTTGTCACAAGCATATATATAGTCCTTACAGTTATTACAAGTACTAGTAATTGATCATAAGGATCGTGAGATATTTACTTAAGTATTATAACTGTTAAACGTGTTCCTAGTCAAAGGGTTACGCCACTAATGAGGATATCGGCCTTTCCCATTAAGACTAGCACTTAGTGTATGTGTACTGCATCTCATCAGTAAACGGTATTGTGATATCGGCATGCATAAGTGGGTGCTCGTAAGTTGACGAGTTCACTGAACTCCCTCACCCTAGAAATCTCTAAGTGGTTCCCAATAATCGAGTAGAGATATCTATGGTATAGTTGTACACCATTAGTCCTTATGACCTAGACATCACCGTGACTTCACTAGAGGACCAGCTGTATCGTGACCTGTCCCTGAGTTCCACCGAGGACCATCCCAAGGGCCAGTGTTCGTGCAGTCCGAAATCTAGTGGGAGGTCTGTGCATTGTAGTCGGGGATTCGATCGCTAGAATAGTCTTGGATGTCCTGTGTGTTCTGAAAGTTTGTAATCATTCTAAGTCTCTGGCCAGAGCTGACTAAGTGATGATTAGAGAATTCGATTCTCTAAGTCATGCACGTGACGATTACAAGACTTGGAACGATCGCACCGTCATCGAACATATAAAGAGGTCTCGATGAACCAATGCCTCTAGTTCGATCGGGACATATGAATCGAAGGGACCGTACTGTACGTTAACTATATCTGAAGGTTCTTGCAGGCACTTCATTTGTATCTAGGGAATCATGACGCGTAGTTGCTAGACGCCAATCTTGATTCGTTGGGTGATTAAGGTGAAACGAGCTTCATCTTAATCGTAACTCGAAGGGGACGAGTTTTGACCACAAAGGGTTGTGGGCCCACGGCTAGCTTACACCTGAACCATCGAGGGTCACACTGCTCGTGCACATGAGATCTTTGAATAAACGGTCAGAGATAAAATAGTTTATCTTTGCATGATTGGAAGTCAATATGATTGAGTCCAACATTCATAATTTTGAATTATGAATGAGAATAAGAAAAGGAAAAGAATAGGCGAACGTGTTAGTGAACTTTCTAAATCGGGAAGTTTCCAAATTTAGAAAGTGTACTGAACTAGGGTTTCCACTTTTGGAAAGTTGGAAAATGAAAGATGGCACTCGTAATGACGAGGGAATTATAATGATTCCGAAAATGTAATCGTTGCAATTTTTCGGTCATTGAATTGAGAGAAACGAGCAAGTAAAAGTACTAGCGAACTTAAGCTGTTGGGCCCGGTCCAACTTAAGCCCGCTAGGGTTTTATGCAAGGGACTATAAATACATGATTTATAGGCCTTGCACATACACACAAAAACCCTAACCCTAAGCGGCCGTCCACTCTCTCTCTCGGCCTCTCTTTCCGCGGCCATCACCGCGCCACCGTCGCCGTTCCGTCGCCGGAATCGGCCGTTCATCGGCTGTTCCTCTTTCGGTATTCTTTCTCTTTTCGTTTCTTCCGTTTTATTCTAACTACTTCGTGTCTAGTGCCACGTTTTAGTAGATCGAAGTATACGAGGTGAAATCCGAGAGGAGGAAGATCGTAGATCGAAGAATCGAGGAGCAACGCACGAGCCGAAGCTGCACGCTGCCCCACGCGCCGCCCCGAAGCCGCGCGTATACCGCACGCGCCGCCGTGACCTCACGCGCCGCTGCTGCCGCTGCACCGCTGCTGCCCCGATTGTACGGATTGGTTTCCGTAGCAATCTCGACGTGTTAAACGCTCCTACCTCACGCGTCAAGAGGTAAATCCACGAAACCCTAGTTTCGTTTCGATTAGGTTTAGACTATGATTTCATGTTTGTTTCGTATGATTTTATGTGATTATGTGTAATCGTTTTAAATCATTACAAGCATGTTATTTGGTTTAAACGCGAGCATGTTAATTGTTTTAAATTCGGTTAAATTTATTAGCATGTATGTTGTTTTTAATTTCGCTGGAAACGCAAAGGTACGCAATTAATTGATTTAATTTGTCGGGCATGTACTATGTGCGTTTTAAACTCGTTTAATTCGCATAAATTTTTGTTTTCCGCTGCGTATGCGTGCCCGAAACCCAACAATACACGCACTTCAAAAAAACAGGCACTACACAAAAACACACATTGAATAAAATTCACTACACCGTGAAACACACACTGGAAATTCATTGTACTTCTTGTGTAAAACACAGACTACATAAAAAACGCACACTCAATTACAAAAGAAGTACACTCAATTTCCAGTGTGTGTTTCACGGTGTAGTGCATTTTATTCAATGTGTTTTTGGTGTAGTGCGTGTTTTTTTAAGTATGAGTTTTTGGTTTAGTGCGTGGTTTTTTTTTTCGGGTGTTTATTTTGTATTGTAATTATTGTGTAATTCCGATGTACTACGTGTTTTATTTTTCATTGTGTGTTTTTGGTGTAGTGTGTTTTGTTTCTAAGTGAGTGTTTACGGTGTGTAGTGCAAGTTTTTTTTCAGACTGCCTGATTATTTTTCCAGTGAGTGTTTTCGAGTGTATTTGTTGTGTAATTCAATGTGTGTCTTAGATGTTGTGCGTATTTTATTTTAATGTGTGTTTTTGGTGCAGTATGTATTTTTCCAGTGTATGTTTATGGTGAATTGCGTGTTTTTTTTCAGTATGTGTTTTTGATGTGCGTGGATTTCTTTCTAGTATGTGTTTTCCACTATAGTTGTTGAGTAATTCAAAGCGGAAAAAAACCCGCACACTACACCAAAAACACGCACTTAAAAAAAACACCCACTAAACTAAAACACACATGGAATAAAATTCCCTACACCGTGAAACACACACTAGAAATTCAGTGTACTTCTTTTGTAAAATACAGACTACATAAAAAACGCACACTCAATTAAAAAAGCAGTACACTCAATTTCCAGTGTATGTTTCACGGTGTAGTGCATTTTATTCAATGAGTTTTTTTGGTGTAGTGCGTGTTTTTTTGAAGTATGAGTTTTTGGTTTAGTGCGTTGTTTTTTTTCGGGTGTTTATTTTGTATTGTAATTAGTGTGTAATTCAGTGTATGTTTTCGATGTAGCGCGTGTTTTATTTTTCATTGTGTGCTTTTGGTGTCGTGTGTTTTGTTTCTAAGTGAGTGTTTACGGTGTGTAGTGCGTGTTTTTTATGGTGTGTAGTGCGTGTTTCTAAGTGAGTGTTCACGGTGTCTAGTGCGTGTTTTTTTGAAATGCGTGTTGTTGGTGTAATGTGCGGTTTTTATTCGCTTTGAATTACTCAACAACTACACTGGAAAACACATACTGGAAAAAAATCCACGCAGTACATCAAAAACACATACTGAAAAAAAACATGCAACACACAAAAAACACACATTGGAAAAAATACATACTACACAAAAAACACACATTAAACATAAACTACGCACAACATCTAAAACACACATTGAATTAAACAACAAATATACTAGGAAAACACTCAACTGGAAAAAAAATCACGCAGAACATCAAAACCCGAGACGTTAAAA